TAGGAACAAGAAGCTACTAGGAACAAGTGCCACGCTAGTAGTAACAAGTGCCTTACATTAAAGTATGTACCCAGAAGTCAAAAAGATCCCAAGAGCGCAAAAAGCAGCATGCAGGCTTTTTCCAATGCGCTTTGGTTGATGCTGGGGTCCTCCCCCCAGACCCTGTATCACTTGGTCAGTTTCAAACTGCCCTGGACTTCGCCAAAGGGACAAGGGTGTGTCAGGCAGTAGGATTCGCCCATCGCTGCCAAACACCCGAATGTCCCCTGGTCTCCCAGGGCCAATGGGCGTTTAACAAAAACGGTCTAAGCCGAGTCACCCGCGGCACCCTCTCTCACTGGGCAGCCCCTCAGGCCGCTGCGGTGACCTTCTGGGCCACTTGCTGGATCGCCCGGATGCCCTTCATCTCTTCGTTGCTCAGGATGACCTGCCAGATGGCATCAGACACTGCCCCAAGGTTGTTGCTGGTGCTGAACCGCAGGCGCTGGTTCATCTTGCCCACCAGCTCAAGGCGCTCATCTCTAGGGGCAGCGCAGGGCTCCACCCGCTTGTAGAACTCCATGCGTTCCTTGATCCACTTGTTGTAGAGAGCCTCGGGTGGCTCATCCAGCACCAGCTGGAGGGAGGCGAGTGATCCCCGGTGCTCACCGGTAATCTGCAGAAAGCGGCTGCCTCCCCGAGAGGCCTTCCAAAAGCCCTGGCAATATCTGCACATGTAGCCCCCTCTTGTTGCTCCCTTCTCCTTGGCGACGACCTCCCAGGCGGAGATGCTGGGAAGGATCAAGCCGCACTCCGCCTCGCCCCAAAAGAAGTGGCGGTCTTTGCTGGAGCCGGGTAGTGCTTTTTGCGCCATTCTTTGCCAACAATGGAGGTGACGTTGCTGGCAGTGAGGCGCGGGTAGCGAGGAGTCACATTGGCCGGGGCCGCCGGAGGAGGCAGGGTCTCGCTGCCATGATCCAGCTGCTGAATGCCCACATCCATGTTGTTTGCCACCCTCTTCCTCGGATTGTCGCCCTGCATGGGTGCAGAGCCCCCCCACAGGGCCAGAGGCACCTGGGGGGTGGCACCCCAGTGCCAGAATGGTCTCTTGGGAGTAGTGCAGCTTGGCATAGAGGGAGTAGGCTTCCGAGGCCGGGACCTCAGCCGCCCAGGTGTGGGTGACATTGCAGCGCCAGTTGACCTTGACGTCTACCATGGCCGACTGCGGGAGCTGGCCCACCAGCTTCGAGTGCACTTCCGGAAACTGCTTCAGTGCGTCCAGCGGGATGGTGATCCGCTCATCGCAGATTGCCCTGAAGCGCATGGCCTCTTTGCTATCGTGCACCGGGGCCACGGGCATCTCCATCACTGGTGCGGGGCAGTTGGTCAGGAAGACCTTGGTGGCCAGGAAGGAGCCCATCTCGCGGAGCACCGTGCGCCATTCGTCCTTGTCCGCGGGCTTGTCCAGGCCCAGGGCAGCGAGATATGAGCTGGCCTCCTTGCGGGCCTCAGTGCGCCTCAGATTCCGGGTCTTTGTGGCGGAGCCCGGGGCGTCTTTGCCGCGTTGCTTGGCTTCCTGTTCAGGTGCAATCCTGTGGATGATTGCCACCAACTTGAGCCAAAATGTCCCGGTGGGACATTTTGTGAACTTCCGTGAACATAAAACTTGCATCCGCAAGCTACATGCAAGTGTGAATAAATTAACTAATAGCTTCTTGTTCCTAGTAGTAAGGCACTTGTTACTAGTAGCGATGCACTCGTTACTACTAGCGTCCTTAGTCCTATGGGCAGAAATCGAGGTTTCAAATGTTCGCTCTGAGGAGCAGAAGGGATGCAGCACCGGCACCAATGAATCCCCACCTGAGAAGGAATGCGGACGGAAAAGACCCCCGACTCAAGGCTGGGGTGAATCTCCCGGGACGATAGGGTTAGTGCTACTCCCTATGTGATATGACCCAGCATCGATCTGCCCGTCTAAAAAAGCCGTTTCTTTTGTTGGTGCTGTGTATCTTGTGTTTAAACAATTGCTTGATTTGCAAGAAACATCAAGAAACCGGCAAGCCACATAAAACTAAATCCAAAGATTCCAGTCTCAAATCAGAGTTTGCACATGTTTAAACGGTTAACCTCATCTGCCGGCCATCTGAGTGCCCAAACGTCCATGCATCCAAGAAGGGTGCTTGAAGATCTGGTGCACCAGGTGGATAAAGCCTGGAAACAGTGCACGGGGGCGGGTCGTTTTCAAACGCTGAAAAACCCTAGCTCGCTAGCGTTTGTTAAAACGGTCCAAATGGTTTTCAACCGCCGTGATTCCGTGATTTCCTTGTAGTTCACCTATTCATGTCATTTCATGTCCATACCCGAAGCCCGCCCATTTGTATTGGGCATATTTGAGCTCTTGATACTTGGAGTCTCGAGGGCAGAATTTCGAACGCAAAGGCGAGGGCATCTCTGAGATCTTAGGGAATGCAAAGAAGTTCCAGTGGCAAGGCCAGTGTATGGTGAATCACTTCCAAAGTGCTCAACTGATTCTGAGTGCGCCCCCATTGAGGTAGGGACTGATTCTGAGTCATGATGCGAATCTCATCCACTGGGACTGGCAGGGATGAGAACCAGTCGTCGATGCTAAACCTCAATATTCACCCTTCTCACATCTGCTCAGTCGTCGATGCTTGAAAAGCTCTAGACTGCCCAAAACAGTGTCCATCAGTGATGTCCTTTTGGGAATAATATGGAATATATAGTTATGGAGGGGTGTATATGTGGGTCAACTAATGTACCTATTGCTTGTTCAATTGGGGGTATCCCCTCTATCAACCAAGTGTAAAAGGCAATCGATGTGTCCATTGCTTCGGCTGCCACATTCTTTGCGTTCGACTCCTACATCTCTTCTTGCCGATTTGACTGCTGAGAGCAAAGCCACTCTTCAGACTTCTGGTGCTGCACGAAGGGATTCTCCACCTGCACGAAGGGTCTCTGGCATATTGCTGTAAGAAGAATATGGGTCGGACAAGCCGGTCCTTCAACTTCCCCAACTCGTGAACAGTTTCTAGAGAAGGTTGACCTGTACCGAAAATGTCTGCTTAGAGTGGCTCTGAGGTCGGAGGTGATGCTGGTGCTTCCATTCATGTGTCTCTCTTTTGCCCTTTGGTGGCATTTCAATACTACTTCACTTACCCATACCACCTACCTCCCCTACCTTCTGGGCTCCTAGTCCTAGCCTCCTTTCTTTCTCGCAACCAAACATGTCTGCTCCCTTTTCCCAGCCTCAAGGAAAAAGAAGACGCCGAGACCTTCTTTGGCCGAGTCCCATCTGTGGAAGCGTACATCCTGACCACTCATACTACTCACTTGTGCAACTGTTGGTAGTGAAGTGATAGTTGCCTAGACTGTGTAAGCCAACAACTGTGGGCCCAATGAACAAACTCTTGACTACCAACCTCAATCTTGTTAGTTTGTTGGTACCTTTGACGTTCTTTGAATCAAGCTGGCCCATTCAATCGAAGTAACTTCCAATTGCTGCTTCCAACTCGGGCCTGGTGAAAACTAAAGCAATTGAAAGCACTGCCTGACTCAAGACTGACTTTAAGAAACAATCTGTATCAATCTGTTCACTACCCGTGATCCCATCCTGTCTCAACAGCTACCAAACCGGAGTGATCACAACTGGTATGATCACAAATGGCACAATGACAGGATTCTAGTCATCCCGATGTCTCTCGTCTCACTCAGCTCCTCAGAAGACACGGCCAAGGTCTCTGCGGATTTCCTCAAGACTTCTTTGAGCCTTGGTTGCTTTGGTGACTTGGCACCTCGTCCATGGCATTGCTGTACCTCCATGGCTAGATCTAAGACTCTAGGGATGCGACGTGCCAGCATTGGCCAAGAAGTCCTCCACAGAGATTCGCAAGGTCAGCCGAAGGTAGAAGCCTTGAATGGAGCCAAGGGTGACACACTGAAACGCCTGAGACTGTGAGGCATATATAGCATAATGAGAGTATGAAAATCACAGTAAACAAGAAAATGACAAGAAGCCTAAGCTTGTCTGAAGCTTGGCCCATGCCCAATCGCCAACCAAAACCAGTCGGACTATGTTGGATTCGTTTCAATGTCCAAACTAACGAACATCTGGATTCGTTTGGCACGAAAGTGCCGATGTGGTTACACGGTACTTCTGAAGAGCATCGAACAAAACAATACGAACCATCGATCCCTTGTTAGCAAAAAAATCATTGAATGTGATCGGGGATGGTATACAGTTGTACATATTGTATATGTATCGTATGTAAATATGTTACATTGAATGCTAGTAGTTCTACCATATTGTACCACCACCGTCAGCTCTTGATGTACCACCACCGTCAGCTCTTGACTGAGAGACTGGGATGCCGGACGCTCTACCTGGACATCAGCAGGCGCCTTATTCAATCTCAACCGATACTTGCGATTCATCTCGGACCTGTGGATAGTTCTGGGGGAAGGGAGAAGGCATGGGCACTTCCTGTGTATGTCGAAGTATGTCGAATGTACTTCCAGTCAAGTCAACAAGACATTCATACATTGCGAGAACGGCAGTCCTGCATGAGGACTGAATGGAACCGGTTCGGTCCAAGAAGCCATCTGACAACGTTGGCTGGAGGGTTGAACGAAGAAGCCAGCAAGGCAAGACCTAGGAATTTGTTGAGCAATACATTCCACCGGTGTCAGCATGGTCAAACATAGGGGAATTGTATATATCACCTCTCAAAGGTGCACAGTTGATGAATCCTTGGAAGTGTGGAGTACCTATACAACTATTTTATACTATTTTCCCCTCCACCGTGCGCCGTGAGGTTCCGAAATTTGGGATTTCTGAGGATTTCTTCCACCAAACCTTCCTGCAACTATTTAGTTCCAAAGCCTTCACACAATGCCAAGTTCAAAGCGAATGAACCACTGCACATGGTCTGAAGACTGTTTTGTGGCTTGTGACTTAATTCGGAATCCTCACACCAACAAACTGAAGAGTTCTCAAACATGACCCTATTCTGGAAAACAACACCAAGAAACAATGGATGGCTTATGATTGCTTGTTTGGTCATGCACTGACTTAGGCCGACTCAGGTGCCCTGCTGCTCGCATGAGCCCACAACTGCAACGGACGATGCAGGTCTCAAATAGCGAGATGGCGGACATCGGAGGCCTTGGAGAAGATCTCCAAACAGAACACATAGAACAACCTGCTTATTTTTTGTACCATCGTTCTACTTTACTAAAAATATGCCAGCCGGAGAAGGGCGGTGTTTGATTGTACGCAATAATTATAATATGTATCATTCATCCTGTATCCAACTTTCGTGTGCACATTTAATCGGAACTCAGACATTTCGAGGTGCCGTTCAAGCTCAAGCGTTGTCCGCTTCAAGCTCCCGGCATCCCTTTGGACTGCCATCTGCACATTCCAAGCAACTTGAGTCACCTAAGAAAGCAAGGCACATTGGTTGAATTAACAGATATTTTCGGGTGACTGCAACATGTGAATGAAAGTGCTACCTCAAACAACTGGCTATAGCCATAGCATGCTATAGCTTTCCCTGGATGACTGAGAGGTGCACAGGGTTGGCAGCTCTCCATGCTCTGGTTAAAGTACAAGCTTGAAGATGAACCTTGTTGAGGCCACGCACACTCTGAACACAGAGGCGGTGACTGCGAATGCTTTGGCAGAATTTGACAAACCGCATGCCATGAGTCATGCTCAAACCGCCGCTTTCAGTTGAGTCTCTAACTACAAAGGTGGTGACTGGCACATGGTGGATTATTCTGGCGCTTGCTCGTTCCAAGGTCAACGGCTTTCTGGAGACCTTTGTTGGCCTTTGCAAATGAGGGGGCGCTTCTTCAACCTGCTATATATTGCATGTGTGATAGATCTTTGTTTGGGCAGCTCGGGCTCAAATCGAAGATGTGATTCAATCTTGCGAATCGAAGATGTTGCGCTCTTCAAAGCTCTTCTTACCGACCAAAGTGCTTTTGTCAGCAGGGCTTCTATTGGTCAATTAGTCAATTACCACCAGCGAGCAAGCAACGCCCTCTAAAGGCAGTTGTGACGCCCTCTGGGTGTTGTTTGCAAGTTCCAGCGAGCGCCGCGCCGCACCAGTTTGCTCAAAGAATTTGAAGCAAAAAAGGTTGCAACATTTGCTTTATATTGTACAGTACATTGGTTCAAAACCAAAATTAACAACTCAGCCAACTCAGCTGCTAATTCCAACATGTGGTGTTTGCCTCTGCATTTTCAACGGTTCTAAGTCAGTCACTTGAGTACCGCCGCCAAACTGAATCACCACAAGAACAAGCGTTGAACACAACCAAAAATCGCAGCATGCATCTCGCTTTCAAATGATTCGTTTTTGCGAGTTTTTGAACCGCAGTTCACGCTTCAGGTCTATCTTCAGGGGCCTTGCTTTTGAGGCCGAAAACTGTCGGAATCAGAAAATCTCCATCGGACCGAACGTCGCCCGTTCGGGCGGTGCCCGTTTGGGTGGCGCCCGTTTCAGGCCGTCTTCTTGAAGCTCCGTTCCAGCGCCTGCAGTTTTTCTCGTTCATCTTGGAGGGCCATGAGCCTCACAGGCTCTTGTAAGTTGCCCTCTAAAACAATGGACAAAGGGAAGTTCTGATTTAATCGATGGTCGGTGACCCGATTCTCTTTGTAGTTGTAACTCCGGGATTTCTCACTACGACTCCCACTGCCGATCTGGGAAGATCTCATCTCAGCCTCCTCCCTGGCAGCCTCCTCAGCCTCTAAGCTCTTGAGCTTCGAAACGATGAGTTTCACGGCAATTTGTCGGTTCTGCAACTGGGATCTCTCTTGAGTCACAAAGAAATGAATCCCAGTGGGTTCGTGGGTGGCATGCACCGCAGTCTCAACCTTGTTGACGTTCTGACCACCTTTGCCACCCGATCGGCAGTACTGGAATTTGGTCTCCCGGATGACTTTCTCCTCGTCAATGGAAGTGGTGTCCTCAATTTCTGGCATGATCGCCACAGTTGCTGTGGAGGTATGAACTCGGCCTTGCCTCTCAGTGCTGGGGACCCGCTGAACACGGTGCACGCCACTCTCGAACTTGAACTTGGTCCAGGCACCACTCCCTTGGACGTTGAGCGTGGCCTCCTGGAGGCCACCACCATCTTTCTTCGTGGCGGAGATGACCTTGCAATGCAAATCCTCCGCTGTGCAGTACTTCTGATACATGTCCACCAAGTCCTCGGCCCAAAGGCAGGCTTCATCTCCACCGACTCCGGGTCGAATTTCAACTAAGACAGAGGTGGCATCATCCCTCTCATCGGGCGTGAGCATTTCAAGCTGTAGTCTGGAAGCAACATCTGACTGCTTCTTGCGAAGTTCCCTCGCTTCCTCCAGTGCAAGCTCATGCATCTCATCGCCTGGAGCATACTGAGAAGCCATCTGTCTTGCATCTGCAGCTTCCTCTGCGACTTGTCGAAGCTCCTCAAGGGTGTCTGCGATAGTCGTGAACCGGGACAAGATTGTGGACTTCCTTGCATATTCTTTAGGATCTGCCAAGACAGCACTGTCTGCAAGTTGTCTCTCCAACTCCTTCTTCTGCTTGATAGCCTCCTCTGCTCCACGAAGGAGGGAGGCATTCAAACCCAGAAATTTTGCATTGGCATCTTCCTCGACCGGGTCATCGTCCTGGTGTTGATCCACGGCTGTTGGTTCTCCGAACTCTTGCTGTTGGTTCTCCGCATCCACCATTGCCCAAGCATCTTCCACAGGATCAGCTTCCGAAGTCACTGTGCTTGTGCTTGCCTGGTCTGCTTCAACTGCAGCCCAAGCATCTTCAACCTCATCCTTCCTATCTATTAATCCCAATTGCCCCGGCAGCATTTTGGTGACATTCCGAGCTTGAGGATTCCCTTGTGGGTTCAGTTCGAGTTCAAACTTCACCGCATCTCCCACCTGCAAACCATCTGCCTGCTGCTTGTGCAAGAAGACATCACGTTTGAATCGACGGAACGTGTGATCACATTCAATGAACCCAAAGCCTTTCTCATTGTTGTAGCTTTTCACCTTTCCCTCATGCAGCTGCGTGGAGGAAGAACCTCGTGCAAAGCGAATCACTCGGCGCCTCTGTCCAATCCAAAGTGCAGCAGCAATTGCAGTTGGCACCCTTGCTTGGAATTGGGCACTCAAAGCTGGAGCTGTATGCGCAGGAGTCAATTGAAAAACACTGTGGCGGCTGGGCTGGGCAGTGCTCACCCTGCTTGTTAGTGGCCCGGCACTTGTGAAGGCAAGCATTGCAATCAAAGCAATGTGCGCATTGAACTAGATTCAGCGCACAAGTCAGGACAACAATGAAAAGCTTTGTCTCAGAGCCAAAACACACATTCCACTGTGGACCGTGCGCTGGTTTGAATTCCAAGGAGCACACAAATGTATATACATCGGTATTGAGCATTTGCCCATTTCCTGCACAGCACAGGGTTCAGGCAACGATGTTTGTGTCGATCTGATTTCGACGACTGGGGTTCTCGCACGATGTGTACAGGCATTTGCTGTCCACGAGTACCAACGGTGCATTGCAAGACTGGCACGTGCAGCGTGGGATTTGTGCAAAAGCTCTCTGCTTCACAAAATGTTCCCACGCTGGAGATTGATATTGGCACGGCAAATTGACTTCCATACATTTAATCTATAAGACTTGTGTTTTGTTTGTTTCGCTGCTCAGGCAAAGAAAACAGGGGTGATGGTGCAGTACCAGCAAGATCCAACAAGTTAAGTTTCGCCAAAAATCTAGGAACCAAATCATTAGTGCGAGGGGCGGGGGGAGCTTATTTGGGATTTGAGAAGCGTGAGAAATCCTGCGTCCAGTAGGTAGTAGCTACTAGGAGCATGTTGCTTGCTCCCTTACTTATATAATTAAATAGGAACCCACTTAACTAAGTAGGAATCAACGGGTTTTTAACATGTTTTAACATTAGACAAAAATAAGTTTGTTCGTTGCGCAAATCAAACTTCAAAACTTGAAGGGCCTCACATTGCGTCTTCGACGGTCCCCAACATGATGCGCAGGTGGGATGGCAAACACTTCCACGAGCTAAGACAACCTGCAGGAGTTCTTTTTGGTCCACAAAGGTTGGGGTCAAAACGGCTGGCCCATGCAGGCTGGCAAACAGCTAAGCCTGGGCCAAACAGTTCTCCTGTGTGAAATATTCATGGCAACATGATCCCAAGCAAAGAGCTCCTGAGGGTCCTGGCCCTCTCAAATCTCAAATTGAAGTCTACTTCCAAGGTCCATCAAAGAAGCATAATACCAGTCTCTACAGTTCCCATCAACCAAAAACAAAGTTAAACAAGAAAAATCAATTTGCATCATTCTGCTATATTCTACTGAACTTTGAGGACAGCATGGTTGCTGGATTCCAAACTTGTCTCAGATCCATAAAGCCTCATAGAGTAGCGGTGACAAGGTCTTGACCAAAGATGATGAGACACCTGGTGCAGCAAAAGAAGTTGTTCTTTGGTCGTTTCACGTTGCGAGGACTGCAGATTCTGGCGGATCCATCTTTAGCCCCCCCAAAAGGAAGCGCAACTTGAGGGTATCTTGTGTCAGGACCAAAAGGACATACGACACCAAATACCTTTCGCATCCTTTTGCACATGGCAAACATCATGCTAAAAACTGAAAAAATTGCACTGAGCTTGTCGCGTACCTCCAACAGAGTCCAACCGTAAGGAGCCACCTCCTAAGTCTGAGCTGAGGATTTGACTGCTGTTCGCCCGCGCCTGTTCTGGCCTATTGCGCACCATCTATTGCCACGCTCAGAATGAAGGCAATCAGGCAATCGTTGTTACACGGTTGGAGCAACCAAGTGTTGGCTCTGCACTGAGGTGGTGGCCCCAACTTCTGATGTCCTGCCCGGCACCTGTGAAAGAGCAGGTGCAGTGCGGCTATAAAGATAAAATGCAAGGAATAACAGCACCCAACAACACACCAAGACCCAAACTAAAGGTTGCCAGGTCTCGGCATTGATGCGCCACTCCACCAATGCATCAGGATCATTCGGGCTTGCTGCCAACCTCTCGGTACATGGCAAATCGCAAATGGGATGTGATATGTCTGATATGTTCACTACGGCCAGCTAGGAAACCTGGCATAGCCTGTCTCCTAGAAGTCACCATGCAGTTCACGACCCCAGCGTCACCAAGGAAAATACCATGGTGAACAACGACCCGTCCTTTCCAACCGCATTTGTCCGAGGTGTCACCTGCCTGCTCTCACACGCTCAACCCAACGACAGGCTGAAAGCTCGCTTTCGCGGCCTGACGCCATGTGCTTCCTCCCGAAGAGACCTGAGTGGTGCATGCAGCGCAATGCAACGCAATGCAATGCAACGCAATGCAACGCAATGCTGCAACATATATCAAGCACACAATAGAATGAAACTCACGAGACGAACCCAAATTTTGGCACAACTATTTAAATCAGACTGTGTGACACTCCTGGTTAAAAGAATGTGAAAACGTATTGCATATATACATGTTTCATCGTTTTTCTATGACACTCTTGCTTGGCACCCTTCTAAGACACTCTTGCTCGAGTGTCCACGATCATTTGCAGCACTCTTGCTTGACACTATTCACCGACATTCGACTCTTGTGCGAGACTGTCGCGAGACTCTTGTACAATATCGTTACAGGACACTCTTGTGCAACGCTGTTGCAAACACTCTTGCGTGACACTCGTTCTTGACACACCTCTGTAGGACACCCAGCAGTCAAAGTTGGTTTGAGAATCATCCAGCTTGCAGGCATTGCAGGCAGATGGCCTTGGCCATTGAAGCTAGTGGTATTCAACCAGCTGAGTGATCTGAATACTCACGGTTGCATGTGCTGTCGCATCAGGTAGGTGTGCATCGCGGTGTCGACAGCACCATGCCGACCCCCTCGTGAGGGAGCGGTCACCGGTGCACTTGAACCCCACTAGGAGTGGATATAGTTTCTTGCTCCTATAGTAGTAAGGCCAGGAGCCCCTAGTAGTTTCTTGTTCCCAATACCTGACAAAGGAGAGGACGAAAGCCAGCGAGAGACCAATATGGTAGTGCAAGACTGGGAGGAATAAATAGCGGAGCACTTATTGTTGAATGCCTGTAGCTTTCGTGGAGCTTGTATCAACGTGGAGTAGATCAAGATCGGAGCACAGCATGAAATGCATCACCAAACCACTTCTTCGATGCTTTCCTGACCCTACTTTTGAACGCTCTCCCCCACCAGGCTCAAGGTTCGACCTCCCAAAAGTGGTCTCTGCGCGACCACCCCAAAAAAAATTGTAAAATGGGGGTTCTGGGGAGTTCTTGTTCATCAACCACCTCGTTGATTTTGTTTGCCTCGCTAAAATTTGTGTTGAGGCTTTGTCGTTATTCTCTATGGGGTTTCTGGGGAACATTTGGTGCTAAAAGTCACTCTGTTCGGTGATATTCAACGAGGTGGAAATTTGATTAGGTTGTTGTGCTTTATTTTTGGGATTGTGTGTGGTTTAAAGGATTAGTTCATAATATGATTAATTAAGATATTATGAATTAATCGTGCTTATGCTTTCCACGTGCCTATTCCATCCCACCAGTGTTATGATGCTTCAAGTCCTCACCAGGACGGCTTGACATCTTGAGCGGCAGCACCCTTTTGCCATTCTTCACATGCTCACGCATGAGATTGTTCAGCATGGTTGATTTCCCAATGACTTGGGAACCACTGACCACCAAGAACGAAGGGGCGCTCAAAGCTTCTTGTTGAGGTAAATTGATGAAGTCCTTGATGCATTCCTCCTCGAAAGGCCGTGCAGGGGCGGGCTCTTTTCAGCCTTTGCCCAGACTACCTCACTGCCCTGTTCATGAAGAAGCCAGGAAGGAACCTTTGAATGAGAGCTTGGAGAACCAGCGCTCCCTGTGCTCAACAAAGTCCAATCAGTTTTAACGGTCTGCGCCGGAAAAGCCCTTGCAGGCTGCGTTCGTGCATGACCGCTTGGAAGGACGAACCTGCCTGGCGCAAGCTGAACCTGCCTCACAAAGATGCATCTGCAGAATGTCAAAGAAAAAGGACAATACATCGGTTCAGTCAATTTGTGCCAAACTGGCTTTGGATTGAAGGATGCTTGATATGCAAAACCAAACAGGAACCACAGCGCCTAACCTCAATCAATACATGAATTTGAAGCAAATAATTCGACATCTTTGAAGAACAGCTTGGTAGAATTTGAACCTGAACCTACACATAGAACTCTGACCACCTCAATTATCCCCTTCATTCAATCCAAACAATGAAGTGCCAGTTATGACCCTAGAAACACGCATAACAAGACCCCAGAAAAACGACAAAGGTTTCAAGAGCCAAGAAAATTCAACGATGCGGTTGATGAACAAGAACTCCCCAGAACCCCCATTTTACATTTTTCCCCACACCCTTATTCACTTCCTGGTAAATCTTTTGACATTCTATCTGGCATCTTCTGACATTATGTCTGGCACTCTTTCTAGCATGTCTTCTGACATGTTCTCGGGCATATCTTCGGACATTCTTTCTGGCATATCTCGTGACATTCTATCTGGCACATCTTTTGACATTTTATCTAGCAATGTGTGTGGCTGAATGCACTGACGAAAATGGTCCTGGTGAAGGTGCGAGGAACTGCAAAAACCTGCAGGTAGTTAACTGAGAAGTAACAATACGTGACCCAACACGAAAAAAACACAGCGATGCCCGAAATATGTTTTTCGCTGTTGTCGGCCATATTTCGGGCATCGTGTTTAAGTCTTCCACACGTGGCCACAGAGAGTTGCTGCTAAGCGCCCCTCGCTTGCTCGCTACGAAGCCTCAGAGCTGCAGCCTGCTAAAGCTTGTCCAGAAATGCCCCTGATCTGTGCATGCCCCAGATCTAAGCAAAACAATCTGACTCCGTATAGAGATACATATGAGTGCCTGAAAAACATCCTTTCTGTTGCTGTGGTAATTGTTTTGGGCATCTTGTTGAACGCTTCCGCGCGTCCCGCCTTGAGTTCACCCTCGCCCAACTGGACATACTCACATCGTTCGCTCCCAGAGCGTTCACTCTTTGTTGCTTGGTCCTTCTTGGTCCTGCTCAGGACTAAAAAATTGTCTCCAGACCCCTTCATGATGCTAATGATGCACTACTCGGTGTCATTTACATCACTTGCATCACCAAACCACTTTTTCGATGCTTTCCTGACCCTTCTTTTGAACGCTCTCCCCCACCAGGCTCAAGGTTCGACCTCCCAAAAAGTGGCCTCTGCGCGAACCCCCCCCACACCCCCTTTATTCACTTCGTTCACCCTAAAAACTCAAGCCTTGCCTATCGGCTGGCTTTCGTGATATATTTACATGGGCATTGAATAATTGAGCCACGGGTCCAGCCACCCTTACACCATCACCATGCAAAAGTACAAATTTGACACGGATCAGTCAGAAAAATGCAGGTCAAGCACCTTTTCGCAAAAAGCGGTAATCCGTTCTTGTATCAAACGCTATTGTTTAAACGTGTTTAAAGTGATGGTTAGTGACGTGTGTACTTGAAAACGATCCCCAGAAAATATCCTGAGTGTTTTGGGCTGTCACTGAATTTGGCTGTCGCTTCCCCCCAGCCAGTTTCGCTTGAGATCACCTTCGGACCCTTTGGACCCTTCGAAAGGCACAGTTATTCAGCACATGGTTTCACATGGTTTCAGGATTCACCGTGTTTCACACAAGTCCTTGTCACATTGTGCTGGGAACTTGGCGCAAAGTACATTGAGACGCGCGGCATGAACCAGACCTGTAGTAGCACAGGTTGTATGGAGCTGTGGGTGGTTTGGTCTCACAAACCGGGGGGGGTCAAGAAGGACAAACTCCATCTGCCTTCCGGATCCTCCTGATATATCATCCGATGGAATCAAACAGGCAGGTCGGGAAACCGACTCAGAACTCAAACACTCATGTTCATGCTCCATCAACACGGCAGGAGGCTGCCGTCTGCGATCGTTCAATCAACCTCGACACCTCTGTCAGCGACGACGCAGTGGTCATGCTGAGAAGCTGACCATGATAGCGGGGGTGCCCATGCTATCCCAAAGGTTCAAGCCTGTGGACATTCAGCTGGGGAAGACCGCTCTCATGTGGGTCCGAATCCAAGGCCTGGCCATTGATTTGTGGCCTTTTCTTGGCATCTTTTGCTGCAAACTGCCGGCCTGGCCTGCTAAAGTTCCTTCCGGCGGATAAAGCTGTGCTGGATCCGGCCAAATTCCCTGTCCATAGAAGCCGATCCTGGAACGAACCAGTGAGATCCTTAGCAGGTGAGCAGTGACCGGCATGATTGTTTTGACGCATTGAGTATCATAAATAGACTGGTTTTGGATGATTTCAAGTGTTTTTGTGTTTTTTGTTTTTCAAGTTTGCGTCGACAAAAATGAAGAGGGCATGGAAAAGGAAGACCTCGACCTTTGTATGCCAATCTGTGACCAATATGTGAATACATTTGTCGTAGAAATGACATGATGATAAAGGCCGTAAAGGCAGCACTCCAATCACACCGATCCAACAAAACTCCTAGTATCGATGACGCTACTAGAAGCAAAGGGCATCGCTACTAGGAGCAAGAACGCTACTAGGGGCTCCTGGCCGTACTACTAGGAGCAAGGACGCTACCAGGAGCTTTTGCATCGAGGTGTCAAGCAAGCTCTATGCAGGCTCTAGCCGCCTAGCCGCGCATTGGCAGGCGGTCTTCATTGACATCATTTCAATCAACCCGACGGTTCCAACCCATTAAGTGCGTTGCTCATAGCTCAGCTGCCGTATGTCCAGCCTCTGGAAGCATGCTAGCAGTTCTCATATAACTAAAAAAACGACCCGCCGGTTTGCAAGCCGAACGTGTAGTCGTGCGCATTTCACAAGAAGCTGCGGTTAGCGAATGCGGTAGAAATGCGTAGCTTTGAGCTAAGAGCTCATTGGAAATTAAATGTACAACACCTGGCTGTGTTTCCATACAACTACACCGCATTTGATGGGACAAAAAGTAACAATTATGTGTTTTGTTTGTCTCATTGATGAATTTTGACCGAGTCGGCATTTTCCCAATAGGAAGAGCTCCGGAAACTCCCGCTTTCCCTTTCTCACACTTGAGATGTCCGAGAGCTCTCTGCCGCAGCGTGCGAAAAGGTCTCGCGAGAAGCGCCACTGCCGACTCCTAACTCTTTGTTCAATTTGGGGGACCTTGATCAGCATTGATCCAAGAGAGTGTGGCACGAACGCTTTCATGCGATTTCAATTGATGCCACCAGCGTGGATGCGTTTCTAGACCAAGACCCTTTCGAAGCCTGACCATTAGAATGATTCACACTGAAGTGGTGCATCTTGCGTGTATACCGTGTTCGGGTAGCATGGTGCCCCGTCTGTGATCAACACAAACATCAACGTCTTCATTCATCTTCATTCCAGTACGACCCAACCCCCCAACCCCCAATTTTATCACACGACTACTCGATGACAACATTCATGCACGATGACAATGTCGTGACACTGATGAACATGTCGTGAAACCGAAAATTATCTTGTGAAATCGATGACAATGTTTTTGACAGGACATCCACGTCATCATTCCAGCACGAACCAACCATCACGTCTTCTCCTCAATGGCCACCGAGTCGAAAAAGGGAACGATAAGTATAGACTATAGATAATTAAGTCCGATTTCAAGTGATTGTGAAAATGAATACCACTAGACTACACGATCGGTTTTCGACCCGGTGGCTAAAACAAGTTAAACTGTTAAACCATGTTAAACCCCAACAGTCTTTCTCTGTCTCAGAATGTTTGGCAAATATGGTGGCACAGCAGGGTCATACCAGGTCCCTTTGGGATGGCCTCAGCTGAATTGGCTGACCCATTGGAACCTGAGTGTGCAGGCTGGCTGAGAATGTTAAGTTTTCCTGAAGATTTAGGAACCAAATCAAGCATGCGAGGTGTTCTTCCAGAAAGAGCCTGAGTTCTTCTGCGTTCAATTGCATAGTAGCTATACTTGTTATATAGATACTAGCAGCCAACATATTATATATATAGTACCCTCTTCTCTTCAGGACCCACCTTTTCATCTTCCCCTCCCCACGAAGAAAGTAAAAACCCTGGGCACATGCGCTTGGTCCCATGTTCTCCCCAAGCCAATGCAGCCAATGACCACCGATTCCACTGTGTCGCCCATCAGAGAAGTGAGAAGAACCGAGGCAGTCGCTTCCACGTAGTGTGAAGGCACTCCGGGGGTCAATGTCGTGCTCAGCCTCGAGGTCAAGCCATGGTGAGTTCAATCTGTGTCGATAGAACTGAGAACCCACAGAGTACGGAGGTCTGCGAAGTCGACAATCAGTTCGATTCGAGGAAAAGGAAGTACAGCACTGTCTTGGCACAAAAACCTTCACCGAAAAGGAAGGCGCATCAGAAGTAACTGTAAGTACTTAAATAGTGATTGTTCAAACAATCCAAACAGCTGTGACTGCAATGCGTCCCGAACCTTTCCCCACATCAATCCGCTGTGACTGCCATGCACCCAGAGGGTCGCAGTGGCACCCCCAAGGCACCAGCCAGCTTACCAGCATTCGACAGCGACAGCGGCAGGCAACTGCGGCCAACGGCGGGTCGGATCTGGGAGCTCAGCACAAACCATCTTGGATGAGCTGGGCGCATGGCCCTTTGTCAGGCACGTGCAAAGCGAAGGGCTCTATTGAGCCAGTCTCCTGCCATGCTGTGAGCCCTGCCTGTTGAGGTATTGCGGGTCTGCTTCACCGGAGTCCCCTTGATCAAGGTAGCTTATTTGCATCCATGTTTGGCACAATATTTACAAGCTCAGTCAAATAACGGGATTGCAGCGTCTTTGCTTGAAGCGAACTAAACATGCAAGAAGTTTGCCTCGGCTTCTATCATTGGCCAAGATATTGCCTGCAAAGGGCTAGTCATGAGATTGTATACATATATTATTGTAGTTGCACCGTACAATCATACATTTATTCTTATTATGATACTGTATGAACCTCTTCTGTAACCCCAAATCGGGTTGAGAAAACTGATAAGTCTGATCTTTTGAACCTTTGCAGCATGCAACGGCGTCCTGTGTTGCATCTAGACGAACTGCCACAAGCTCTGTATCTCTGGGCAAGGCCAGGGAATAGGTCACCCGAGAAGCACCTAAGCCGGATACGGGAAACGGTTGCACGTGTTGGTCTTGTCAAGTGCTGGTCTTGCAGAATTATGGTTTTAGGATGTTTTTGCAATTTGGGTACACACCTCAAATCCGGTTCAAGCTGATGCAAGATCCTGGATATCCTGGACTCGGACTCATCAAAAGAAAAAACTAGCGATCCATATATCCTGGACTCTGCTATCCTGGATATCCTTCACTCATCATATCCTGGACTCAGCAAATTTAGCAAAAGAAACTTGCGATCTGCACGACCTGGACGGCTAAACTCGTGCGTCGCAACAAGCGCCGCGTCTCCTCGGGGCGTTCCGCGACTGAGGCCGCCAGCGCCAAAAAAAGAGGAATGGAAACTCCGATGCTCTGCTCCAAGTAGACCTCTCCAACAAGGTCTATTTAGACCTGGCCTAGTTCGATTAGGTTTCAGTTCTCGAGATGGCAGGAAAAGGAACATGAAGCTACATGAATCTACAAAAATAGGAGCAGGATCCAGCGGGTCTACCATGCAGGGTTCCTTTCTGAACAATGCGTCTCTTGCTCTGTTTTCCTCGTGCTGGACTTCCCCAGTGTAACGAAGAGCAATCAAACTCTACAACTCTACCCTTTGTGTTCTTGATCCAGGAGGCTCTTGTACTGGCAAATTCCCCCCAAAATCACAGTAAAAGGACACGGACACGACACGAACCCAATAAAAACTCTAATTACACGACGACTAATGAATGCTTTGGAGGTTGCAAGAGTTAAACTATCCGTCCAAGGAAAACACACTGGAACTTTCACACAATCTTCGCTTCAATCAGCATCATCAGTTTCAGCCCGCTACCAGTGGTCAAGCATTGTGACACTGGCCAATACAGCCGCAGCCGTGTTATCAATCGCCATCACGGTCCGTTGAGAAAGAGATCCGTCGGAGCGATTTTTCGTCCAGGTCCAAGCGCGTTTCGTCGTCAGACTCGATGAAGTCGCCAGCCATTCCTGAACCTTTTCAGCTGCATTTCGACGGAACCATCGAACAAAGCAGTCGGCTCGTTGATGGTTAGCCGCTGTTGCCCTGGTACTTTTGGTTGTCGGGGCTTGACTCCTCGGCGCAAAGTTCAACCCATGTGGATTCCAAATAACTTAATTTCATTGATTAAACCAAAACAATAATACAAGCAAACATATGGAGTGGAAGGTCGTTTTCGAGTTTGTTGGCATATTCTGACAGTATCAACATTCAAATCCAAAACCCAAATCACGTCACCCCAACTTTAGTTGGAAGTGTCCAGCCGTTGAAGCTCCACCGAATCATTGGCAGCACCAATCACAGTCTGGGGCCTCGAGCAACTTTGTGTGCTCTCTGACACACGATCCTTATATATAATTTGAGGCGTGGCAAACAGTATCATAAATTGTCTATATGTTATATAATGTGCAAGAAAAGAAAGCTAACCTCCCTCCCAGCACCTACTTGTGCAGTGCTGTTTCTCTTTTGATAACGCATCTGATCTTCAAACATGCGAAGACCCTTATTTACAAGTTCCTCAAACCGTCTGAGGATCGGCCTTTTGAAGTCGTTTGAAGAATACCCTTACTTTCCAGAGCCTCCTCCCCATTATACAAAACTTGTTTCGCCAATGATGTCATCTTTGAAAACATGTTGAGTTTATAAAACGCGTATATACATACAGTATACAAGCTAGGTGGCCTGCATTGAGGAAGATACTAAGTGTCATACAAGGTTGCTCCTCTGTGAGGGTCAAAAATGGAAAAATGTAGCCTCGGAAATCTGTGTCCTGATATGTCCTGCAATAGCTTCATCCACAATCAACAACCTAATTAAGCAAGAAGGGAAGAACCATTATTTTAAGGAAAAAGGACAGGCAATACGTTATCACGTAAGTTGCAATGAGAGCGGTGGTGGTCAACCAATCCGTTTGTCTCTGGAAGAACCACTGTTAGGTTAACCAAAGCAGTGACTAAAGAGCAATATGTTATGGCGCATATTGCAATGATGGCGGCCAATCGATCCTTTTTGCCTCTCGTCTAGCTCCTTCTATTGCAAGTTCTGATTATGTTTCTTTTAATCGGAAAAGGACCCTAAGAAATAGACTTCACAAAAAGAAAGTTGAAACGCCCATTGAGAATAGGAGCAGCATGTGACCAACACAACAATGCAAAAATGTGAAGAAGCGGTCAAGAAGAAAAGACACATAGAAACAAAACAGAGATGGACAAAAACATCTGACAAAGGAAGGTAGTGGAACAAACTCATCAAGGAAGGGTACTGTAGAAATAACTTTATAGTCCAAGTAGCAACTGCTTCAAACTTGTGTGCGTGTGTGGCAATATGTTTTGAACTGTATTCTCATGAAAGGCGTTCACGCCATGGACAACTGGAGAGCCTGAGGCGAATCTTCTTAGGGGGATCTCTGAAAATCAAGAAAAGGAGCCAAATAATAGAAGCAAACCAACTAAGAAGAAGAGCTACTTGACGGCTTGACGAGTCTTTTTCATAAATGGGAAACACGGGGAAGCATGAGTACAAATCCTATGCAAGTAATTACATCTGACTCGACAGGTTCCCAAAAATCAAAAGATTGAATGAGCTTCACAAAACCAGGACATCCTGCATCATTACAAACAGAACGGTTCTCTTCCTTACTTTTCGATTGCTCTTGCCTGCCTTGGTCCAGCGCCCCTCTCCTGTCTGATGTTCAAGCCTTTTGCACGCTTGTATGTTGAAGTCTTCTCACTTTCTGTATTATGCGACGTTGGGCCTGTCCCGAATACGCGCTTGGAGGTGAAAAAAAGTATGTATTCTTCTGAAGTCTTCCTTTATGCCTTGTACTTATATGTATATTATGTAGTAGCCCTAGTCCTGGTTGAATTGTACTCTTCCCATCTTTCAACAGAGCAAGTGACGCAACCCGAACTTTTATCTATTTCTATTTTTATATGTTAGGAATTAGAGTAGGGCAAAGCAAACTAAAAGAGTTATTCAGGTGGAGGAATGTATGGTAGGTAGAGTGCAGCCAGTAGAGCGCTGAATGCCTATAGCCTATAGCCGTATTTCAGGCAAAGGACTTTTTCAGTGTTCCAGACACGTAAGCCATCCAAAAAGGATTATTATATATATATATATATATATTGTTTAGTTTGCGGAATACAAAGAAAGTCAACTAAAGCATATCGTTGTTAGTTTGTATGCTTTGCGGAAATAGACAAAATCCTGCAAGTCCCCAGTTTTTAGGGACTTAGTTCTCTTAACATTCCACAAAACAAACAAAACACATATTATGTTGCCTTCACGCAAATGGTCTTTTTACAGCTGCAGTATCTCAGTTTGTTCTCACATACGCTACGTTATATTGTACGAGGAGGCCCGGCCCCTCGTTTGTATAGTAATAGACTACTTGCCACAGGTCACACAATGTATAATATTGTATAATATCGTGTGGGCAAAGCCGGCAAAGCAACACCAGTTTGGGACCAGGTGTCTTTCCAAAAAAAATGAAGCGATTTCTTTACACAAAGAGTCACGGCCGGCCTTCGCACGTTTGGGGCCGCGTTCGGGCGACCCCAGAACCTGTGCCGAGGTTCGGAACTCACCAGTAATAAGCAAATCGGATTCCTAGTTGACCAAAAGAAACCAGAAGCAAAATTCATGTCTACAAACTTTTACTAAGGGAGAGTAACACACAGTAATAACCAATATCATGCCTGTCGTTCTTTGTGCGCTGAACAAGCTTTCGACAGTGTCCAACCCTGCACCAACTGGTCAGCCCTGTGAATGTAGAACCCCAGCCAACAACATACAACCTATGCACTACCAATCTCAAAGCCAACAATCCCCTCAGATGTCTGGAACACCTGCACTGCATGATGTGTGGGACACTAAAATTGGAACGGGCAGAGAGTAGAGCCTTAGCATTGGAGGCAACCTGGAAGCTCCACCATCCATCTCGTCAAAGTCACGATGTACCTGGTAGTCCTGACACAGCAAAGTTCTCTTGCAGGCATCTACAACTTTCGTCTTCAGCGTCTTCACGCTGAAGCCCAGCTTGACATCTTTCACATGCGAAACCAATAGCCAACTCAGTAGGAATTCCAGGTTCCAGGCCGTTGGCCGCAGAAACGCTTCGCTATTTTGGGGGGCAGGGGCCGGCAGTCTATGCCGTGAAGTGGAGAAGTATGTCGCAGCCCAAAGGAGCAACAAGTGACTGGGCGATCCCAAGGAGCAACCCTTCGAGGGGTCGGTCGGTTTTGGCTCCAATAAAGAAAATAGTAGCTTTATGACTTTATTGTTACTAGTAGTAAGGCCAGGAGCCCCTAGTAGCGTCCTTGCTCCTAGTAGCGATGCCTGCTTCTAGTAGTTTGTGTCCTCCCATTTAAGGACTTTTAGACTCTTAGTCTTAGACGTCTTTTTCTTTCCGTGGGTGCTCTGACCGACAAAGCACCACTGGCCGGTGGCTCCTCTTGTCTCGGTCGTGACAATGGGAACGACTTTTGCAATAACACGCTCTCCTTAGCTGTGAAGCTCAAGCATGCAGGTTGGCAGGTAGCTTGGTAACATAGCGAATCATGGTAGCATGCATTCAGGTAAGCTTCGAAGTCCTGCCGCGAGATCACACTGATCCTCCACTGGAACGAGGGAATATCCACCAAGGTGAGCAAATGTTAAAGGTTGAATGAGCTGAATGTAACATGTATGTGTATACTATGAATCAAAAAAAAGGTAGAGCTGAACATCAAAAGATGGAACCCACGAACCCGAATGCAAACACGATCGAAAAAATA